GTAAATCCTCGTCTGTGACTGTAAATCCTCCCTTGAAAGACTTTGCTGGATGTGAATGAGCAGAATTCACAGTCAATTAATAAAAGGGGGTTTTGTCGGGACCAGGAGTTTGCTTCATGCTCTTGGGAAGCCTCGGTCAGAACACCCATCTCCCTGGAGAGGGGTGTACTCATGGCAGCTCCTGCCCCAAGAAGGGGTGAATTCTTCTACAAAGCGGTAATCCATTTTGTTCTTTTGTTCCATCCCTGAATAGTATGCCTCTTTATCGAAGAAAGTTCATTAGGACGCCAGTACTGGAAAAAGAATTTGATGAAGCTCTTGCAAACCGTTGCCGCTACTTTTGATCTCCTTCTGCAAGATTCAAACTCCAGCCAGGTGGAGTGGCATTACGTCACGATAAAGGTAAAGAAGGCGGGGCGTTATCACCTGGTTTCAAGGTTTCTTTTTTGTTTTTGTTTTTTTAAAGTAGGGCCAGTGGTTGCCGTTTTGCCCCCCCTGAAGTTAAAATTTGAAGGGCAATGTAGACATTTAAATTTAGAACGCAGAACATAAAATAACAGAGTTGGAAGGGACCTTGGAGGTCTTCTAGTCCAACCCACTGCTCAAGCAGGAGACACTAAACCATTTCAGACAAATTTCTGTCCAATTTCCTTCTTGTCTCCTCTTGCTAGAATTAGAGTGGGGTAGGGTAGGGTAGGGTAGAGTAGAGTACAATAGATAAGTTATTCACTTAAAGATAATCTTTTCTGAGGCTTCCTTGAAGCCTCCGGAGGACTAAAAACGACCCTACAACTTCCGGTTTAGGGAAGCCTCCTGAAGATCCCTGAAGCCTCTGGAGGGCTTAAACCGACCCTACGAGCAAACCGGAAGTCACTTCCCGAACTTCCGGTTTGCCCATAGAGCTGTTTTTTTGCGCTTCAGAAGCTTCAGGGAAGCTCCTGAAGCCTCCAGAGGGCCTTGGGGGGGGGGCGGAGGCCCTTTTTGCCCTCCCCAGGCTCCTCTAAAGTCTCTGGAGCCTGGGGAGGGGGGAAAATGGCTTTAAAAAAGGCTGAACTCAGCTAACAGGGCAACGCCTCGCGTTCCCTGACAAATGCCCCCGCGTTTGCCATCCCAGGAATAGAATAAGCTGGAAGGGACCTTTGGGGTCCTCTAGTCCAACCCCTTGCTCAGGCAAAAGAACTTATACCATTCCAGATAAGTGACTGTCCAGTCTTTTCTTTAAAAGTTGCAGGAAACGCCTACAACTTCTGGAGACAGTTGCAGAAAAGGAGGAAATGGGAATTGTGTTACTAGCAATTCACGGAGGAGCTGACCAAAGTCAGTGTTAAATTTCTCAGAATAGCAAGAGTTGGAAGGGACCTTGGAGGTCTTCTAGTCCAACCCACTCCTCATGCAGGAAACCCTGTGCCGTTTCAGTCAAATAGTTGTGCAATCTCTTCTTTAAAAACCTTCAGTGATGGAGCATTCACAACTTCCAGAGGCAAGTTGTTCCACTGGTTAACTGGCCTCACTGTTGGGAAGTTCCTCCTTCATTCCAGGTTGATTCTCTTTAGGTTTGCCTGCATCTCTTCAAACGGATGTCAGAAGAAATTCAGCCCCTCGTCTGGGAGGAAACGGATCACAGAGAAATGCTGCAAAAGATCTTGAGATCCCTGGTGCATACCATCATGGATCAGGTGAGGGTATCTGTCGGGCGCAAAAGACCAGATCCACACATTAAGGAATTGGTTGCTAAACAGCTTATGTGCAGGAATCTTCTCAACAAAGCATTAGCACTTGCTAGGAGCTAGGTAAGAGTGAATGGAATTCAAAGGAGGCTAAACTTTGTTTGTGGCTACTTAAGGATTCTAAGCTGATGCCTCTTTTAGCTCCACCCTCAGATTCTGCCATTCTTTTTCCTACATTATCCTGGGAAGAGGATTTTTTTTTAGTCTCGTGTGACTAAAGTTCTCAGGGTTTGTTTTTTGGAGGGTCTATCTTGAATCTTCCATCGTCCAGCATCGGAGAAGGTCCATCCTCCCAGATCATGAAAGAAGAAAGGTTTTGGAGTTCCACGAGAAAAAGAAAATCCAACTTCTCTTTTTTTCCCCACCACTCTCCTATTTCTGGCTGGCATCACTTGTGCCACTAAAAGAGAGCCACCTATATTGAAATCATGATCTGCAAGTTTTTAGGAGATCCCAGTTTTGAAGAACATACAAATCTGAAAGGAGGAAATTGTCAGAATATTCATGAACTGGCAGAGACATAATAACAAGATCAGCCAATGAGGCATATTTGGAAACAGAAACTTAAGTAAAAAGTTTGGGAATGGCTGTATTAAGCTGTGAAACTAAATTAATCTGGACTTATCTGCTCTCTGAATTGAAATTGTTCTCTCCTATGGCCTTGGGCTTGCTTGTAACTGCTACCCCGTTGGAAGAATCTGCTGCTGGTATTGTACATTTATTCCTGTGTTATTATGTATATAAAGAAGTTAATGAATCCTGCTGAATCAGTCATCTCTGTGCGCTTTCTTGATTTGATTTTTTCTGCAACAAACTCTCGACAGAAATTCTATGGGGAATTCAAAAAATAGCCCCGTCTGAGAGCTATGGGGTGGGAGAAGATTGGCACGAAGCCATGAGAATCTTGAACAGATCAAACAACGGAAGTTTGATCTTATTTTGTTAGAGATTAAACCTCCATTGAAACAAAATCCAGTTTTAGGTTGACCTCTTGGGTATCCGTTGTTGTAGAGTGCTTGCCAAGACAACCGTCTCTTGGCTGGAACAACGGTGAGCATGATGGTGAACACCGCCGCGGAAGTTGAAGCAGGCGCCAAAACAATCTGGGCTTTTTACCCCCTTATAAATTTGAATGCCCAAAGAACAGAAGAACACAAAGGTAGGCTCATTCTTCTTCTAACTGTCTGTAAGTCTCAGGTGGTTCTGATCAGCAGGTCTTCTCCTTCTTATCTTCTTCTCATTTTCTTCTTCTCTTCCTCTTTCTCCTCCTCCTCATCTCATCATCTTTTTTTCCTTATTGTCTTCTTCTCCTTCTTTCCCTCTTCCTCCTCATCTCCTTCTCCTTGTTCTTCTCTTCCCACTGCTTCGCCTCATCTCATTTTCTTCTCCTTCTCTTCCTCATCTCCTTCACATCATCATCTCCTTCTTCTCCTTCTCTTCTTCATCCTTCCCATCTCCTTCTCATCTTATCCTCCTCCTTCTTTTCTTCCTTGTCTTCTTCTTCCACATCTTCTCATCATTACTTCTCCTTCTCTTCCTCGTCCTCCTCCACATCTCATCTTCCTTCTTCTCTTCCTTGTCCTTGTCTTCCTCTTCCACACCTCCTTCTCGTCATTTTCTTCTCCTCTTCCTCCTCCTCTCCATCTCCTCATCTTCTCTTCCTTCTTCTCTTCCTTCTCCTTGTCTTCCGCTTCCACATCTCCTTCTCATCATATTCTTCTCCTCCTCCTCCTCATCTCATCATTTTCTTCTCCATCTCATCTTCTTCTCCTTCTCTCCCTCTTCCTCCTCATCTCATCTCCTCCTCCTTGTCCTTCTCTTCCTCCTGCTCCTCATCTCATTTTTTTCCTCCTTCTCTTCCTCTTCCACATCATTTTCTTCTCCTTCTCTTCCTCTTCCTCCTCATCTCCTTATCATCTTCCCCTTCTCCTCGTCTTTCTTCCTCCCCTTGCTTCTCCTCATTTCCTCAACTTCTTCTCCTTCTTTTCCTCATCTTTCCTCCTCCACTCCTCCTCTTCCTCCGGAGCCAACTGAATGACGAAAGTGATATTGATAGCATATTTGAATTTTATTTTATGTATTTGCCCAGGGGGGTGCCAGTTTGGGGCCCTTTGGATCCCCGCTTTCATCCTCAACCCAGGTGGTTTGGACACACTGGTGATGACCCGTGGCTTACTAACCTGTTGCAAGAAAGAGATCTTGACCTGCCTTCTGGATGGTACCCCGCCAAAGGTACCCCTCAACATTATCGTTTTTAAAATACCTTAAGCATAATTATTCACAGCATAACATAACCCAGCAAAGATGCTTCTCTCTATAGCAATAGCACTTAGACTTATATACCACTTTGCAGTGCTTTTACAGCCCTTTCTAAGGGGTTTACAGAATCAGCAAAGATGCTTCTCTCTATAGCAATAGCACTTGGACTTATATACCACTTTACAGTGCTTTTAATCCCCTCTCTAAGCGCTTTGCAGTCAGCAAAGATGCTTCTCTCTATAACAATAGCACTTGGACTTATATACTGCTTTACAGTGCTTTTACAGCCCTCTCTAAGCAATTTACAGAATCAGCAAATATGCTTCTCTCTATAGCAATAGCACTTAGACTTCTATGCTACTTTACAGTGTTTTTAAACCCCTCTCTAAGCACTTTGCAGTCAGCAAAGATGCTTCTCCCTATAGCAATAGCAGACTTATATACCACGTTACAGTGCTTAAGATGCTTCTCTCTATAGCAATAGCACTTAGACTTATATGCCACTTTAGTGCTTTTAAACCCCTAAGCGCTTTGCAGTCAGCAAAAATGCTTCTCTCTATAGCAATAGCACTTAGACTTATATACCACTTTAGTGCTTTTACAGCCCTCTCTAAGGGGTTTACAGAATCAGCAAAGATGCTTATCTCTATAGTAATAGCACTTAGACTTATATACTGCGGTGCTCATCTCTGTTTCAAAGCCAAAGAGCCAGCGCTGTCCGAAGACGTCTCCATGGTCATGTGGCCGGCATGACTAAATGCCAAAGGCGCATGGAGCGCTGTTNTTATCTTGTAAACAATTGATAAATCAAATAAATGAAAAATAAATAAGTGTCCAATCCTATGCAAGCAGTAGTCCTCAATTTACAATTGCAAATTTCTGTTGCTGAAGGAGGCCTTTGCTGAGTGTCGCTCCATTTTACAACCTTTCTTGCCGCAGTCGTTAAGGCAATCCCTGCAGTTGTAAAGTTTGTAATGTGGTGGTTAAGTGACTTTTACACTCCTTTGTAATGTGACCATTTTCTTATCTTTGTTACTATTTTCCTTCTCCTCCTTTCCTTCTCCTATTGGTATCTACAGTATGAGTTATCACTTGTATCTTACAGTTTTGGGGACGCCCGTGGCTCAGTGGCTAAGACGCTGAGCTTGTCGATCTGAAAGGTCGGCAGTTCGGCGGTTCGAATCCCCAGTGTCCCGTAATGGAGTAAGCTCCTGTTACTTGTCCCAGCTTCTGCCAACCTAACAGTTCGAAAGCACATAAAAATGCAAGTAGAAAAATAGGGACCACCTTTGGTGGGAAGGGCCATGCCAGCCACATGACCACGGAGACGTCTTCACACAGCACTGGCTCTTCGGCTTTGAAACGGAGATGATCACTGCCCCCTAGAGCCGGGAACGAGTAGCACAAATGTGCACGGGGAACCTTTACTTTTGTCTTTATACAACTAATCCTCAATTTACAATCGCAGCAGAGCAACAAATTTCTATTGCTAAAGGAGTGCTTTGTTGAGTGTCAGCTCCATTTTATAACCTTTCTTGCCGCAGTCGTTAAGGGAATCGCCACCGTTGTAAAGTTCGTAACACAGTGGTTAAGTGATTTTTACACTCCTTTGTAATTTGACCATCTTCTTATCTTTGTTACTATTTCCCTTCTTCTTTCCTTCTCCTATTGGTATCTACGATTTATCACGTGTTCCCTACGATTTATGATCGATGATTAACCACTTTGTTCTTCGTATTGTACACTAAGAGCTAATACACTGGAGACAAATTCCTTCTATGTCCACCCACACTTGGGCAATAAGGAATACATGTAGTTCTCGACTTACGATAGTTCATTTAGTAACTGTTCGAAATTACCATGGCATGAATCCGAAAGCTTGGAAGAGTAAATTTCTGGTCCCGGTGACCAACCCAAATTCAATTTCCCAATATTCCCAATATTCCTATTCCTCTATATCAGTCTTCCTATGATTTGTCTTTCAAATATCCCAGAATCCCTAGCAAAAACAGCCAAATGCTCTCAAGTCCTGATAGTTGAGAGTTGACATCTGAATATATTTAAGTAATGTTATTTTTTTCAAGAGGCAACTGGACTTTCTGGTTTTTCTCTGAAGAGGTTTTGCTTCCGATCCAAGAAGCTTCTTCGCTTCTCACCAGAGGTGGGTTCCTACCAATTCGCACCAGTTCGGTAGAACCGGTTCGTCAAATCTACCGAACCAGTTAGAAGAGGTTCCACCAGAAAGCAGGCCACACCTACAGAAGAGGTTCCAAAAATTTTTGAAACCCACCACTGACACACACACACACACACACACACACACACAGAGAGAGAGAGAGAGAGAGAGAGAGAGAGAGAGAGAGAGAGAGAGAGAGAGAGAGAG